AAACAGAAATGACTATTGAAGGCTTGCAGCCCACAGTGGAGTATGTGGTTAGTGTCTTTGCTCAGAATCCAAGCGGAGAGAGTCAGCCTCTGGTTCAGACTGCAGTAACCAGTACGTAACCACTGCTTGGTTTCCATTTTCAAAGTCGAATTTTGTTCTTAGGTGTCTGAATGCCCGCCACATGTCTTTTGCAATTACATATAGGGAAAGTCAACTTGTTGGTTAGTTTATGTCTTGAGCTGAGCCCTTTACGAACATCTTTTTTCCTTCTCGGTGCCAAGCAAGGAATTTATAGAGAAAGAAGTTGTGAAACTACCATAGTTAGTTGCTGTGCTTTGAATTTCTTTTGCTCAAATGGCCTCAGCGAAATCTTATTTGCCTATAGCAAATCTACAAAAATTTTTCCTAGACCGTCTTTTCTACAACTGGATGGTAAAGCTGATTGAAGTGTGCCTCATGTAGCTGTTATGTTTGGGGCATTTGAAGGACTATGGCTGGACCAGAATGTACTATAAATGCTTAATAGAGACGAGAAAAGAAGAGTGTAAGAACAATTATAGGGCCAGGCGCAGTGGCTCATGCCTGTAATCCCAGCATTTTGGGAGGCCGAGGCAGGAGGATCACGAGGTCAGGAGTTCAAGACCAGCCTGACCAACATGGTGAAACCCCGTCTCTACTAAAAATACAAAAATTAGCCAGGCGTGGTGGCACGTGCTTGTAATCCCAGCTACTAGGAGGCTGAGGCGGGATAATTGCTTGGACCTGGGAGGCAGAAGTTGCAGTGAGCTGAGATCATGCCACTACACCCCAGCCTGGATGATAGAGGGAGACTCCATCTCAAAAAAAAAAAAAAAAAGAACAATTATAACAATTTGAATCTGACGTTGCAAATCAGCTTTACCACTTCCAAGGTATAGAAAATCCAGGTCTATGAGACTAACATCACATTGTAAAATCAAATGGTAGTAGAATATCTTTAAATTAATATAAATACATTGCCATTGTGGGGACGTTTTGCAGGGTATCTGCTTATCTCACATACACCTATGTTTTAATAAGTGATGCAACATTGCATATTTTCTAAACCAAGAAAGATTAAGCAAGTGTTTAAGTGATTTTCCATTTGACAGTGGGTTAACTGGACTTCGTCAAAGAAAATGGTATCTGCAAAACTGCTTTGCATGTTATAAAAATGCTTATTTCACAACTTGCTTTTCACATAACCTCTTACCATTAATTTGCCTAACAGACATTGATCGCCCTAAAGGACTGGCATTCACTGATGTGGATGTCGATTCCATCAAAATTGCTTGGGAAAGCCCACAGGGGCAAGTTTCCAGGTACAGGGTGACCTACTCGAGCCCTGAGGATGGAATCCATGAGCTATTCCCTGCACCTGATGGTGAAGAAGACACTGCAGAGCTGCAAGGCCTCAGACCGGGTTCTGAGTACACAGTCAGTGTGGTTGCCTTGCACGATGATATGGAGAGCCAGCCCCTGATTGGAACCCAGTCCACAGGTATATGGTTAATTGCACCACCAGGTGCCCATGGGAGCAGCGGCTTTATGCCCTGCTGAATGAATTATACTTCACTGGGCTATTGATTCCCGTGTAAGGGTGAAAAAAATTATTAGGAAAGATCCTCTTTAAAGAGGAATGGTAAGAAACAATAAAACTGAGGTGATATTTAAGTAAACAAGTCTGATAAAAAGAAATTTTGGAGTATCTTGGCTTATAAACAAGACCATAAAACGAGACGTTTGAAGAGGATACTAAAATTGTGGATTATTTCCTAAGCTCTGACTCCCTGTGATTACCCTTACTATGTATAAAGGAAAGAAGTTTGGCATCATACAGCTTACTTATAAAAAGGAACCCAAACTGGGGCATTTCATAGCAGCATGATTCTGAGCACACATGGGTAAGACCTTTCTTCTCTGGTTAGATGTCATGCGCTGGTGTATAATTAGCTTAAATGATTGTGATTCAGACACATAGGAAACAATCAATAGGGCAATTGCTTTCCATAATACTTTAGCTCTTGTGCTTTATTTCTGAAGCAGAGTAGAATGCTAAAGATGTATCCTAGTGACAGCATAAACCCTAGAGGTGACAGTCTGTATTATTGCTTTTCGCTTCTCTTTTCTGCTTCTGTTGGGAGCCAATTTTCTTCTTATGCCGCATTACAGAGAGAACATCAAATTTAGCAGCCATATCTGTCATAGGGTCCAAATAAAGAGACAATAAAAACATTATTCTCTCTTTTTTGGATGGAATACTGTGTGAAATGGTTATCCATACAAAGATACTTTATGTAGAAAAAGGAGGCCAGGTGCAGTGGCTCACACATGTAATCCCAGTGCTTTGGGAGGCCAAGGTGGGAGCATTGCTTGAGGCCAGGAGTTCGTGATCAGCCTAGGCAATGAAGTGAGACCCCATCTCTACAAAAAATATGAAAAAATTAGCCAGGTGTGGTGACACATGCCTGTAGTCCCAGCTAGTCAAGAGGGTGAGGTACAGGATCGCTTGAGCCTATGAGTTCAAGGCTGCGATGAGCTATGACAGCTCCACTGCACTGCAGCCTGGATGACAGAGCAAGACCCTGTTTCTAAATTAATTAAAAATTTTAAGAAAGAAAAAGGGCTACTGCTTATTTTTCCATACAAAGGGAAAATAAATCATAATGGTCAATAAGGCAATATAACTTTTTTTTTAAGGGAAAGCAAAAAAACTTCTAAAACCTAAAATCTCTTAGAGTTCTGGCATTTATCCAAATGTTTTCAGTGATTCTGAGAATTCGTGGATATAAAACACATTTCTCAGCAAACACTTTCTTCATTTTACATCCCTTATTGTACTTTCTCGTACTGAATCTTTGCTTGACCAGGGAACCCACCTAACCCAACAAGAACAATCCATTCTACTTCTTGGAACCCACTTTATTTTCCTTTTTCCCCATTTCCTATAAGATAACCTCTAACCAATGACAATCCCGACAGCTATTCCTGCACCAACTGACCTGAAGTTCACTCAGGTCACACCAACGAGCCTGAGCGCCCAGTGGACACCACCCAATGTTCAGCTCACTGGATATCGAGTACGGGTGACCCCCAAGGAGAAGACCGGACCAATGAAAGAAATCAACCTTGCTCCTGACAGCTCATCCGTGGTTGTATCAGGACTTATGGTAAGACGTGACCTTTGTTCATTGGAATAAAGATGGAGACCATGTCTAATACAGTTTCTAAGGTGGTGAAAATATAATGTAATAATAAATCTAATAAACTATTCTTTTCCTGTGCATCAAATACTCTTATTGTAACTTCATATCAACAGAATTCCTTTATGTTGACCTAAGTTTTCCAGGTAACCATTGGGACAGAATTTTATAAACAGCTTTGGATTTTGTTCAGCTCTTTTAGATGTATTGTGCTTATTTTAAAAGGTTGTGGGGGACAATTTACATATCCGTTGCTTGAATGCATAAATCGACTTAGTTATGCATTTTCTGAGCTCTGTTATCTTGGTAAAGAATATTTTACAGTTTGTACCAGTTTACCTTGACCCTACCCTCATTAAAACATTTTAAAAACCTTCCAGACATACATGCAGAAAACTGCTAGGAACCTAGGGGGTTGATGTAGCTCTTAACGTAAGGTCAATTTCAGGGGAAACTACAGAAAGATTGTTCAGAGACAAAATGGAACATTCTTTTTGCCTCTCTATGATAAGGAAAAAATTATGATTTGCACCTGTCAGATCATAAAAAAGAAAAATATGCTAATACCCACTTTCCTCATTTTTTTACCAGCTTGGTTTAAGTATGTAATCTATGGCTTACTTAAGCTTAACCGCTGAGAGCATTTTAAAATTGATAAATTAAATACGTTGATCACCTGCACTGTAGGAATGAAATCAAGGAATTTACAAGGTTGTGAGTTTTGCTAGTTTGTTCATTTTTTATTTTCTAATCATTGTATTTACCTAATGCTGTAGTGAAACTCCCTGGGTTTCAGTTCATGACACTGCTAACGCTCACCATGCCCTTATTTCTCTAGGTGGCCACCAAATATGAAGTGAGTGTCTATGCTCTTAAGGACACTTTGACAAGCAGACCAGCTCAGGGAGTTGTCACCACTCTAGAGAGTAAGCAATAAAATCTCTTCATATCGACAAACCTTCTGTATAGACCAAAATTAAAGAATGGTAAATCAGCAGGGTTCAGTGGCTCATGCCTAAAATCCTAGCACTTTGGGAAGCTGAGGTGGGAGCATCACTTGAGGCCAGGAGTTTCAGACCAACCTGGGCAATACAGTAAGGCCCTGTCTCTTAAAATAAATAAATAAATACATAAATAAAAATGCTTTTTAAGCTATATATGTTAACAGTGGAATGAGTCCTAATTTGAAAATCAATTTGATTGTCTTTTTGACGCATGACTGTCATCTTTTATACTCCTTCAGAAAGGGGTCTACTGACCCATAAAATGGAATCACTTCATCAGCTTACAATGTTGATGTTATGGACTAGGACTGACATCTAGTTTATGCTCTACTTGTTAGAATTTGTTTTCATAGAGCTAAGCTTGGGGCGACCCCACTGGCTTCTGCTATATCTTAACAATGCACATTAAGCCATTCTTGCATTACTATAAAGAAATACCTGAGACTGGGTAATTTCTTTTTTTTTTTTTTTTTTTTTTTTTGAGACAGAGTCTCGCTGTGTCGCCCAGGCTGGAGTGCAGTGGCCGGATCTCAGCTCACTGCAAGCTCTGCCTCCCGTGTTCACGCCATTCTCCTGCCTCAGCCTCCCGAGTAGCTAGGACTACAGGCGCCCGCCACCTTGCCCGGCTAGCTTTTTGTATTTTTTAGTAGAGACAGGGTTTCACCGGGTTAGCCAGGATGGTCTCGATCTCCTGACCTTGTGATCCGCCCCTCTTGGCCTCCCAAAGTGCTGAGATTACAGGCTTGAGCCACCACGCCTGGCCGAGACTGGGTAATTTCTAAAGAAAAGAGGCTTAACTGGCTCACAGGTCTGCAGGCTTTACAGGAAGCATGGTGCTGGCATCTTGGTTTCTAGGGAGGCCTTGGGAAGCTTGCAATCATCATGGAAGGCCAAGGGGGAGCAGGCACATCACATGGCTGTGGCAAAAGCAAGATCGAGAGAGAGAGAGAGTTGTGGGGGATGACTCCACAGATTTAAATGACCCAATCTCTTGAGAACTCACTGTCATAAAGAGAGCACCAAGCCACAAGAGATGTGCCCCCATGATCCAAACACCTCTCACCAGGCCCCACCTCCAGCATTGGGGATTACAACTCAACAGAGATTTGGACAGGAGCAAATATCCAAATTATATCACAGCACAGTAACCATTAGACCAAAATCAGGCTTAGATTCTAGTCTTCTGTTATATCAGTAACTTGATATATACCTTTTCAAAAGTCAGGTAAAGTGTCAAAGTTTCATCGTTTATCAAAGAAGGATGGCATTTTACCTGTTGAGAGAAAAGACAAAATACTTGCAGTAATATTAGACACACACGGACATACACACACTCTCTCTCTCACACACACATACACACACACACACACACACACACACACACACATATAATTGTTAGCTGGCCATGTTATAACTCCTACCACATATATTTTTACATTATAATGCATTAATAATTTTAATATTTATTGAAATATTTGTAGATACTAAAAAGCCAGCCCCAGGAACCACTGGTAGTATCCATAAAGCTTTTCAGTTCTTCAAAATAAAGTGTATGAGAGGTAGATTTTTCGTATTTTCTAATTGCAGTTGACCTTTCTCTCTGAATGCCAAAGGAGATAATCTACACATTACTAGTTATATATTTCTTGAAATGGATGAATTTGATATATACCAAGGAAACATTTTAAAATACCAAAACTTTACAAGGATGAGCCAAGTAGATACTAATCTCTAGTTATGCTCCTGTGCAGATGTCAGCCCACCAAGAAGGGCTCGTGTGACAGATGCTACTGAGACCACCATCACCATTAGCTGGAGAACCAAGACCGAGACGATCACTGGCTTCCAAGTTGATGCTGTTCCAGCCAATGGCCAGACTCCAATCCAGAGAACCATCAAGCCAGATGTCAGAAGCTACACCATCACAGGTCAGGGAACTCATTGTGCTAACCACATTTGTTAAAAAATATCCACAATGTAAACTGACTTATTAATTGCTCTAAGACTGACACTGATAAAATTTATTTTCAGTGTTATCATAACCCAGTTTTAGAACGTTATTTTCATGCTATGATCAGAAATTGTTTTGTCTTTTGAATGCCTGATTTTGTGTAATATTTGTCATGGAAATGGCATAAGTTTCATTCAACAAGTTTGATCTTTCATCATTGTGCCCTTTCTTATTTAAAAAATTATAACACAAAGTTTAAAACTAAAAGAAATAAAAAACAGTGATGTATAATCTTAGCATTAGTATAGATTAAAAAGCATAGTTAATATAAAAGTAAATGATACTACTTAATAAAGGTCAAAGTGGTAACCAAAGAATATTCAATATCTGAGGTCTTTTTCAGTTTTTTAAAATTGTGATTCCAAGGCTCAGCTATTGATCATCTGATTACTATAAAGAGAAAACCTCAATAAATGGCCGCCCCTCATTCGGCAATGAATGTTGCCTCTTCCAATATAGCAATATAGCATTTTTGCATTCCAGAATTTACTTTAGCCAGTGTCCTTATCTGCATCAGTGATTCACTTTCAAGATACATTTCTTGTTAACAGTTACATCCATACCATGCTCTACTTTACTGTTCAAATGTGGACCACTTTGATAGTCTATATAAATACGGGATGATAGAGAAATCCAGAAAAACTGCAGGCGAGCTTGAGAATTCTCCTAGTAAAGCAAGAACTGGTAAAAATCATCTCTTCTCAAATCCCAGGTTTACAACCAGGCACTGACTACAAGATCTACCTGTACACCCTGAACGACAATGCCCGGAGCTCCCCTGTGGTCATCGACGCCTCCACTGGTAACTATACCTTCTACTGAGGAAATGCCACTGACTTGTATGCAGTCAGTCTCATGAACTCAAAAAACAAAAGTGAGGCGGATATTTTTGTATTATAGATTCCCGAGAATCCTGTTTCCGGTTTACAGTATTCTCGGATTCTTTTAAGTGTGTTAGAAGGGCTAGGGAGAAAAGTGTGGGAGTAATTTTCTTGGTTATTTGCCTTCTTAGAGACTTAATTTTCTTTTCTTTCAGCCATTGATGCACCATCCAACCTGCGTTTCCTGGCCACCACACCCAATTCCTTGCTGGTATCGTGGCAGCCGCCACGTGCCAGGATCACCGGCTACATCATCAAGTATGAGAAGCCTGGGTCTTCTCCCAGAGAAGTGGTCCCTCGGCCCCGCCCTGGTGTCACAGAGGCTACTATTACTGGTATTGCTGCTTCCATGCTGTCATTTTCCTTCTTACTACCTAGGGCACATGAAGTCCTTAGCAAACGCCCGCTGCGTCTTTGATACTGTGTCATGAGAATGCAAAACCCTGTTCCTGATAACCTCAAAAAGCATTCTCTGTGTAGGAGTGGTACAGCTCAATACATCCCAGAAGGCGTGAGTGAAGGAAAATGCAATTTCAAGACTGTCCTAAGTGGCATGACTAGACTCATGTTTTCCTTTTGTTGCAAGTTTGCCAGATACCTGTCAATTCAGTCCTGGAGAAAGATATTTTTCAAAGCAAACTAGCTGATAGTGATTCTGTCATTACATTCAGATCTCTATAGATATGGCATTCTTGCAGGACTTGCCAGAGTACCACCTGCCATTGACCACTATCACAGGATAGGTCTTGAGGCACAGCAATCCCAACCACCCACATCAGAAAGAATGCCTGGAATGGCCAATAAAAGTTGATTACCTTGGTGGGAAAGACTATAAGTCTCTAGTATTATTTTTGCCCAAGAGATGAAATTTTTAAACTATGTGTATTAGTCTGTTTTCACACTGCTATAAAGGGGTTTAATTGACTCACATTTCCGCATGGCTGAGGAGGCCTCAGAAAATGTACAATCATGGTGGAAGGGAAAGCAGGTATGTCTTACATGGCAGCAGGAGAGAGAAGCACAAAGGAGGAACTTCCAGATACTTACAAAACTATCAGATCTTGTGAGAACTCACTATCATGAGAACAGCCTGGGGGAACCACCCCCATGATCCAATCACCTCCTCTCCTCAATACATGGGGATTACAATTCCAGATGAGATCTGGATGCGGATACAGAGCCAAACCATATCAGTCTGTATAGAGTATCACCTAGACTTTAAAATTCCCATAGAACATACAGACATTAGAAGGACACACTGCCTTTTTAAAACTCGGGAGAACAGGAAAATAGAAGCAGATATGAGAGGAATTGAACTAGACACTTCCCACAGAGGCTGTACAAAGATTGGCCAATCTCTCTTACCCTTCACTTGCCTTGAGTTTTGCTTTTCATTGATCTGCCACTGAGGACCACTTGGTTATTAGGTCTAAGTAGATTCATGTATATAATCTGCAGGACTGGTGGTATATGATGCTGATAGATTTTCTTAAATTCAAAAAGGCAAATAAGACCACATGGTAAAAGAATACCCTGGAAAAGGTACCCAAAAAGTGTCTATTCAGGTGTCAGATATGACAGTCAGACAAGTACTTTGCGATGTGCACTTTATATGCAGGATATTTAGGTGTTTATGGAGGAAAAGTGAAGTTGATTTTACCTTCAAGAGGCCAACAGCCAGCTGGAGAGGAAGTGCCTCCTCCCAGTAGCATCTGCTGGTGAGACCGACTTCCACTTGACTAGCTGAGCCCATTGACATAATGTGATGGTTCTATTCTCCCTTCAGGCCTGGAACCAGGAACCGAATATACAATTTATGTCATTGCCCTGAAGAATAATCAGAAGAGCGAGCCCCTGATTGGAAGGAAAAAGACAGGTAAGAGTACCTTGCAGGTAACAAGGAGAAAGTTAGGACAAAACTAATAACAGATGAGCAATCTTGCAATATGAAAAGGTTCTCCGTGTTTTGATGCATTTCTTGTGATTTTTTTTCTAACAGCATAGTGTATATATTGTATTCTGTAATAGTAGGAATAATTTAACATGCACTGCAGAGTTTGGTTTTATTTTTTTTTCTTTACTACAGCCACTCAATATAAAGCCTTGTTATTCGCCTTTTAAAAATTCAAACAAGATGTTAAAATGTAAAACCAAGTTGCTATCATTGCTCTTCTTTTATACCTTCTGTTGAATTTTAAAATGTTTCCTTTTTAAAGGAGGAAGAGAAACCTCTCACATTTATCTTTGTTTATTGTTTGGTTTCTACAACTTCGAGCTAAATAATGTCTTGCTTTTGCACCCAGTTTTAATTTCAAGAAAATGCTGTCGTGATAGGAAAATTTAAAAAATGAATGTGTGTTTTATCTATTTTTACCATTTCAAACCATGAAAAACTGTTAAGCCAAACCTCTGTAATTCTCATACTTAAGACACTGATATGATTAGTCTGGATTCTACTTCCTACAACTTGCTTCTCAAATTTAAAAAAGAAAGAAAGAGAATGCACATTTCGGTTCCATCACGTTTAATTTGAGCAGAGGCAGCTTCTAAGGGGCCCAGCGGTTTAAAGCTGTGTGTATGATAAATTCATACTAACACTTTTTTCTTTCTAAACTATAAAGAAACCTTTGAGAAAAATCCTAAAGATTTCTTTCTGGAAAAAGTGTTTCGTGATCTCAGAACTGCTCATTTTCTGAGGGCTTTTTATCACATTGGTGAACATTCATTGTTGCCTGAATAGATGATGATTATTGCTGCTGCTTCTTGGAGCTTAATGCGCTTTGCTTTTTTGGCTCTAACCTCTCTTGGCTAGACGAGCTTCCCCAACTGGTAACCCTTCCACACCCCAATCTTCATGGACCAGAGATCTTGGATGTTCCTTCCACAGTTCAAAAGACCCCTTTCATCACCCACCCTGGGTATGACACTGGAAATGGTATTCAGCTTCCTGGCACTTCTGGTCAGCAACCCACTGTTGGGCAACAAATGATCTTTGAGGAACATGGTTTTAGGCGGACCACACCTCCCACAACAGCCACCCCCATAAGGCATAGGCCAAGACCATACCCGCCGAATGTAGGTGAGGAGATTCAAATTGGTCACATCCCCAGGGAAGACGTAGACTATCACCTCTACCCACATGGGCTGGGACTCAATCCAAATGCCTCTACAGGACAAGAAGCTCTCTCTCAGACAACCATCTCATGGGCCCCATTCCAGGACACTTCTGAGTACATCATTTCATGTCATCCTGTTGGCACTGACGAAGAGCCCTTACAGGTAATTAATTTTTCTCTTCACTTCTCATGGAGCAGCACAGAAAGGAGTAAGTTAGGTAACTGAAGTGACCAGCCCTCAGATAAAAAGTGGCTTCATGGCTGGGTGCAGTGGCTCACCCAGCATTTTGGGAGGCCAAGGCAGGTGGATCACTTGAGGTCAGGAGTTCAAGACCAGCCTGGCCAACGTGGTGAAACCCCGTCTTTTGAAGGAAAAAAAAAAAAAGTGGCTTTCCTTCTAGAACCTCTTAGAAGATGGCACATTTAAGCCTTTTTTTTTTTTTTTTAATCCTGACATGGCTCTACTTTGGAGGATATACCAGAGAGACACTAGCTTTTATTTCATAGAGAAAATGAAACTATTTCTATTATTCTCACACATTTGAGGTTCCTTTTTGAGTAAGGACAAAGAGATGATTCTAGAAAAGAAAGAAAAACATTCTACCTGAATCTCCATTTGTGTGCATCAGTCTACGACACTACCTTTGCGATTTGTCCTTGAAGAACCCCACTATCTACAATATGTCTATAGAACAAAAACAGGCTAAGCTGTGCATAGCAGCTGATAAGTGATTGATTCTCTAAAACGTATATTCTTTGTGTTGACAGTATCAATTTTTTTTTTCCCCGAGACAGAGTCTTGCTCTGTTGCCCAGGCTGAAGTGCAGTGGCGTGATCTTGGCTCACTGCAACCTCTACCTCCCTGGTTCAAGCGATTCTCCTCCTTCAGCCTCCCAAATAGCTGAGATTCAGGCACGTGCCACCACACACAGCTATTTTTTCTATTTTTAGTAGAGACGGGGTTTCACGATGTTGGCCAGGATGGTGTCAATCTCCTGACCTCGTAATCCACCCACCTTGGCCTCCCAAAGTACTGGGACTACAAGCATGAGCCACCCACTGTACCCGGCCCACTGACAGTATCAATTTTTATTATGTTGTTATTTTTAGAAAGTGGTAGAATTTAAAAACTGACAACACTGGAGGAAATTTATGAGCTTAGAAACACAGGTTTGAGGATTTGCCCAACTGTTTTAAGGACTCCACACTGGGGTCAGATATCTCCTGGAGTAGCATGACTGTGTCTCCCATATAGTGCAGTGTCCAGGTTTTATGTCAAGCAAACATGGCCAGAGCTTCCAGAGGGCTTATGCAGACCTGCGACTGAAGCAAGATCAAGGGCAGGCCGTCTCTAGTATTGTCGAGGGCTCCTGCTAACTACGGACCACATAGGTAGATTGTTGGCAGGAAAATCTGGCAGGAATGTTAGCCCCTATCCTTGTTCCATTTCTCTCCTCCGCTGGTTAGGACCACTATACCCTCCTTTTTTTTTTTTTTTTGTTTATTGTCTTCCTTTGCTTTGTTTAAACAGTGAGGGTTATTGGTAAGAGGAGAGCCCATGTCATTCCTCACTATAATGCTTTTTCTCTGCTTTGGATGTACCGATAATTGCAGTTCAGGGTTCCTGGAACTTCTACCAGTGCCACTCTGACAGGCCTCACCAGAGGTGCCACCTACAACATCATAGTGGAGGCACTGAAAGACCAGCAGAGGCATAAGGTTCGGGAAGAGGTTGTTACCGTGGGCAACTCTGGTATGTAAACACGTATTAAGACACAGGCTCCCCTCTGCTCTACACCAGAGATGGGCTTTTCTGTTGACTGTACCTTTGCTGCCATTGTCTTTTTATGTTTGGGAAATAATGCAACACATCAACATGAAATAAATGAGCAACTTTGTATTAAATTAATCTCTCCCTCACCTCCTGCCATATCCTGTTGTCTTCACAAAATGCATACGTAATTGACAGACTGTCAAATGGTGATATGATTATAGATCTGGAAGGGACTTCAAATATTATTTAGTACAACATTCTGAGTCCTTACTTGTGAGTATCTGAGTTGATATAGGGCACAGGTTTCCTGATGTCTTTCCCCAGACCCTCTCCATCTCACCATGCTGCTGTCCTCTTGAGTGATTCTTAAATACTGAAATGATTACCTATAAAGAAAATACCCCTTCTGCAGACATGGGGACAGTTGGCTTTTGCTCCTGATATAAAATGCTACCACCATTGTGCATTTCTGTCTGCAGAGAATGTTATTCCAATGTTAATTCATTTTTCCAATGTTATTTCCATTTTTCCCAACGTTATTTCCATTTTTTTCCTGACTATATAGGTCAAAAGCTTCTATAGAGGTTAAAAGATCATTGACTTTTCTCTCTAGCACCTGGGAAATCCTTTTAAATCAACAGTGTGCCACCTGGCTTCTCAATTTGAAGCAGCTGAAGATCCACCAAGGCACATGAGATAGGAGATAATCAAAACCGTGAATCCCGAATCTTCTAACAGGAGGGTTCTCTACTCCACACCAACAGAGAGTGCTAAGTCCTGTTTTTGCCAAGTGACAGATTTTATTCCTAAGGCCAGTTGCTTAATTTTAGTCTCTTCCCTCATCTGATAGAAGACTGTGCTACTTTACATGTATAAATTCCTGTGAATTAAGCAGTTGAGCATTTGGCTGGAGAGAGGTTAGGAGGAGATTAATTTGTGTTTGTTGTATTACATAGCCACAGTAATGCTTATCTTTGCCTTTTGTGATTTTACTAGCAGAATGCCACGTGAACAGAATTTTTAAGAGCAAAAAGGTCTTCGTGCTTTTCTAAGTCATTTAAAAAAAAAAAAAAAGATTCCATCTCTTTAACTTTAGTTAGGATGGAATTTTAACTCCTGGCTCTTTTGAGTATAGAAACCCCTAGGAACAATTTAAGTTCCTTCCATTTTTCTTTTAAACTCCTTATTCCCAGTAGCAGTATTCTACATTCTAACCAGGTTCTCCCAGCTTTGAGATGTCTCAGACTTACTAGCTCTCCAAAACACTATTTTCTTCAAGGGTGATGCCTTTTAAAAATTAGGCACTTCAAATATCTACTGCTTTTGAGCTGTTGAGTTTTGCACTGTAAAAAGAAAAATACACGGTGGGACTTTAAGTCAAAGTAAATTAGTTTATTTAATTTTTAGGGAATAATTTGAAGCATGCTTTGTTTGCATAGATTTTTTTTAAAATAAGCTTTTCCAAATCATGAAGAGATAAGATCTTAGGTAACATAAAGACACTCCCTTACTCATTCCTAAATCATCTGTATTCCAAGGGCTTTTTCTTATTTGAAACCGTTGACCTCACTGATAAAGCAGTCTCACCACTATAATAACAGTGTCCAAAATCTAGGTTTTCTGCACTACTATGCAAAAATTACAATAATAAAATTGAAAATTACATTATAATGGTATATTAAAATGCTAAGACTTTTGCATTATAAGCAAAGGACAACTTTAATAATTATTCTTTATTTAGTGAACACTTTCTAAGTCTTGGAAAAGGGTCAATGTTTTGAATTCATGACCTTATATCATCTTCGCAAGATTCCCCAGGAGGTATAGATATTTTTATTATTCTCCTAGTATTGTAGATGAGGGAAGCAAGGCAGAGCAATGTTAAATAGC